ACAACTTTTGCTTCAGATCACACAGACGATTGCAGCAGAAAGGGAGCTGGTACCTGTCAATTTCTGGTACCTGCTCCCCGTTAAGGATACCTTCCCCTTTTGGGTGGAGTTTTAAAAGGTATACGGTTACCGGGGGGAGGCGTTGCATCAAAACCACAGTTCAACCACCTATTTTTATTCCTCCCCCCCATCCACAAGTAAACTGTAGAGAAAAATCTGAATGGTCGCTTCAGATTTCTGGGCAAGATCGCTAGTGACAAAAGACAATTTTTTTTATTCATTATTTAAAGTGGAATTCCAGCTATAACCATCTACTCTTAAATCTCCTTCCCACCTTCTAACTACCCTGTAGAAGCATGATGCTTATTAGGGCTCGTTCATTCTTGACTGTTTTTCCAACTCTTGCCAAGCGCCCCTATAGCGTTTGACAAGCGTTGGTCCAGTGTTTGCGGAGCGTTTTTAACGCGCCGCATGCGCGGTTTAGCAGTGGTTGCTGGGCGTTTGCCATGCGTTAAAAACGCTCCACAAATGCCTATAATGAAGTTTGAATGGTGTTAACGCTCTGCAAACGCCCTGCAACCGCCGGCCGGGCGTTTGCGGAGAGGCACCATAGACTTGAATAGGAGGCTTCAACTCCTCCTGACTCGACCAGAGGCGTCCGTTTTGCCGCGACGCTAACGCTCCCGTTTGAACTGCACCATGTGCTGCAATGTGCAGAATTTTCCCAGGTATTTGGGAAACGGTAAAAACGCTTCCCAAACGCCTGTCTGCCGCTTGCTGACAAGGCTAGTGTGAACGTAGCCTTACTTACCTATTCCCAGGGCACCCAGGTCACGTGATCTCCCCAGCAGCAGGTTTCAGGGGAGAGGATTGAGTGCCAAGGATGGACAAAATGCCCGAGTGCTAACATCACCAATAGGCCTAATATGGGGCATCCGTTGTCAGCTGTCCCTCCACTCCCCTGAAGCTGCTGCTGAGGGCCGATCACATTACCAGACCAAAACGCCCCGAGAGTAAGCAAGTATAAGCATCTTCCTTCTACAGGGTAGTTCGTATAGGTTTTAGAATGGGGTGGGAGCAGATTAAGGATTGGATAGTTATAGCCTGGAATTCCACTATAAGAGCCTATGTAGACACGTGTGAGTTTCCTGCAACTGAAAAACATATGACAGCAAATTCAGATTTACTAGAATGGTGTAGTGCGGATAACTACTTTGGGGGTGCACTTGAACTGCTGATGTGCTTGCATTAGAGCGGTAGTTAAAAAAAAAAAAAAAAAAAAAAAAAAAGGACCCCTGCACAATAATGTCATAATGTGCTTTTACTAGAACATTATAACAGACATGCCTGAAATCAAAACCCTCCAGCAACATGATGACTGCTGACAGAACTACCATCTGCACCCAGTCTTCCTTCTGGGTTCATGGGCTTCAACCGTTTGAATGGCCGAGCCGCATTGACGCAACTGCCAAGCATGCACACGGGAGTCACACAGCCGCAGCACAGAGCTCTGAATGGATGGCAATAGAGCACATGAGCTGGTGACACCACCGGCGAGCTGCTACTAAAGTAAATATCCCCTAAACAGTGCACATTTAGGAGATATCTACTGTACCTACAGCTAAACCTTGTTATAGGCTCACCTGTAGGTATAGCTCAAAGAGATCACTACCGCTTTAAAGTGATAATAAATCTTCAGTGGTTTGTTTTGTTTTTTGTTTTTTTAAATAAACAAACATGTCATACTTGCCTGCTCATTGTAATGGTTTTGCTGTTCTTCGCTGGTCCGCTGCTGGCGCTCCTGGCTCCTCCCCCTAGACCAGTGCCCCAATAGAAATCGGCTTGCTATAGGGCACTGGTGCTTGCTCGCTCCCGAGCCCTGCGCAATGAATCCATAAGACAAAAAAGCCATGGCCCTGCCCCCCGCTCTCTCCTCAGTGGCTCATTGCGATTGAGCATCTCAGCCAATAAGGAGAAAGATATGGGACAGTCAAGGCTCCCACGCACATCCCTGGATCGGGTGGGGTGTTTCTCCCTACAGGCTTCTGTTCATTTTGAATTTGGCGCAGCTGTGCGTGACTCCACTCACCAGCCACATCATCCTTTCATGGGGGATCTGTGAATGGAAGAGTACAAGTCCCAACTGTCAATGTGGCAGAGGAATTCATATTTCCCAGTGTGGTGATTGCACTTGCAGTCCATTGATAGTAGCTCCAGCTTGAAGGTCTCTGTACGTCCAAACAGACTTGAAGCTGGAGGAATAGCCTGAGATTTGCACCCCCAATCCACTGATCACGGTTCCAATGCGCAGCAGACAACATTGTAAAAATTTAATAAATGCACATTTTTTTTATTAAAACTACTTGCCTACTGGGCACTTATACCCCCTTTCTGCCCAGGCCAATTTTCAGCTTTCAGCGCTGTCGCACTTTGAATGACAATTGCACAGCCATGCAGCACTGTACCCATATGAAATTTTTATCATTTTTTTTTCACACACAGAGCTTTCTTTTGGTGGTATTAAATCACTACTGGGTTTTTTATTTTTTGCACTATGAACAAAAAAAAAGGGCAAAAAAATTTGAAAATTAGATTATATATTATAAAATTTTGCAAACAGGTAATTTTTCTCCTTCACTGATGAGTGTTGATGAGGCTGCACTGATAGGCATTGATGATGCTGCACTGATATGCACCAATGATGGTCACTGATAGGCAGCACTGCTGGGCAGTGATAGGTGGCACTGACGGGTCGCGCTGACCGACGGCCCTGATTGGCAGCACTGACTGATGGAACTGCTGAGTACTGATCATCAGGGCACTGCTCAAAAGTGCCCTGATTGTCAGTGCCGATCTGCTCTGTCACAGCTGCTGGTTATCGGTAGTACTTTCCTCACACTGTGACAGCATGAAGAAAGTGCTGCCAATAACCGGCAGCTGTATTTACTCGGTGATCTACTGTGTCATTCGACACAGCTGACCATGGGGTAAAAGGCCGCTGTGATTGGCCTTTTACCTCATCATGTGATCAGCTGTGTCTGTAGTGATAAGTAATATTTCTCCTTCACTGATGTGCGCTAATGAGGCTGCACTGATAGGTGGCACTGATGAGGAGGCAATAGTAGGTGGCACTGATGGGCATTGATAGGCAGCACTGATAGGTGGCACTGAAAGGCAGCTCAGATGGGCACCGATATGTGGCATTGATGTGCACTGGTAGGCACTGATATGTGACATTGGTGAGGCACTGATGGGCACTGGCAGGTGGCATTGATGAGCAATGACAGCTGGCATTGATGGGCACTGACAGGTGCCACTACTGGGGCTACACTGATCATCAGGGCACATGGATCATCAGTGCCCTGATCAGTGTAGATGTCCCCTCCGAGGAATGCCGATTACCGGCTCTCCTCTTCTCACAAGCTATCAGTGTGACAGCTCGTGAGGAGAGAAATGCCGATAACCGACATTCCCCTATTTACATGTGATCAGCTGTGATTGGACACAGCTGATCACATGACTGAGCCAACATCTTTGGCTCTCTCCGTTGTGTCCGAGTGATACAATGCACCACCGATCGCCCTGCTGCGTGCTCCCGGAGCCACGCATGCACAGTTAGAGTGGGAAGACGTAATATGACATCCTCCCAGAACGAGAGAACCGCCTTGCGCCCGTCATCACCTTATATGGCGGGCGGGAGGCGGTTAAAGTTGAAACAATCATTTTGGAAAACTACGAGCAGGCATCTGCAATGAAACAAATGTACCTGCCTGCTTGCAGTTTTCTATCAAATGTATAGAAAGCTACATAAAACGCAAACACAAGCAAAGCTGCTCCAGGTGAATAATGCGGGTCATCCACTGACCAGTCCGATAAAAGTGCTTGCACAGCTCATCATCCGGAACATAAAAATAAACAGTTTCCAGAGCTTCAGTTATGAATGAACACAGTGAGTGATCTGTAGCAATTACTCATTGTGTTCATTCTGGAAAGGAAGTAGCTGGTGAATGTGCCATTTTTACCGGACCCTTCCCTCACTCTCCATCCTGAAGCATCATATTGTGTATTTGCAGCTGCCAGTGGGAAGGAGAGAAGGGAAGCTGGCAGCACTGCAGGGGTAAGGGGTTGGCACACAGGGTACCTGGGCAGAAAGGGGAAACATATGGTGCACAGGGGAGGTGATCGGTGTGGCGGGAGGGGGAGGAGAAATACCAGCTTTCAGTTTCTGCAAAGAGACATACAGGGGATCATTTCCAGCAATTGCCCCCTCCGCCATGCCGATCACCCTCCCTGCCCACATCCAATGCACCCAGCCTGGCCCCCGTACAGGAGGACAGGTGGTACCCCCTTATCCACAGCCCTGAGTCAGAACACACTTCCTGTCCGAAGGTGGCAACACTGCTCCTCAAAAGATACAGTAAAAGAACATTGTCCCCATAGGACAAAAAGTTCATTTTTGGAAGGAGAAGCAGGCCAAAAAAAAAAACGAAGGAAAAAACAAAAAAAAAAAAAAAAACGCATTAAGCCAATACATCTAAGGACTGAAAAGCTGCGATATATTATATTTTCTGGGCAGCATCAGGTTATAGCTGACACCTGCGGCTGTTTTTTTTTTTACTTGGCAGTACAATGGCTCAGTGGTTAGCATTAGAGTCCTTGATTTGAATCCCAGCCAAGGTTCTATTTGCTTGGAGTTTGCATGTTCTCCTTGTGCTTGCATAGGTGTCCTCGCACACTCCAAGGACGTGCAGGAAAGATAATTGGTTCCTGTTTAAATTGGCCTTAAGTCTCATACACACGGTGAGAATGTCAGATGAATGATCGTTTGTTTTTTGCAGGATAGTCTCATATCAAAAATGAAGAGGGGGGGGGTTCTAAAGTCATGAAAATTCTCGTAAAAAAACAGAATATAACTTCGGAAGGGATGCAATGTAATGCATTCTTTCATTTCTGAGCATGCATGGTCTTGGTCACATGCATGGTCTTGGTCACTCAACTATTTTACGGCCTTTACATGCGTTTCGGTGTGCTTTTTTTTTCAGCATCCAAAATGCACAGAATGTAGGTCATACCCGTTTCACATATGTGCAGTCGTGTGGTCCGCGATATGCACAGACAAGAGAGCCCATTCATTTGAATGGACTCCCGTGCCCCGGGGCACATAGGGAACAAGTCCCTGCACTAATTGGGACATCACAGCCCGCACGGGAACTGGGGTTCCCAATACAGCTGCGATATCCACTGCGGGCGGCATGTTATTAGAATTAATGGCACCCGCCTGCGGGTCCCACATTCCGCTGTGTGTATGGTGCAGCTGCAGGCATTTGTGTGTGTCCCGCAGCGGCACCACCTGCACAGATGTGAACCAGGGGATATGGTCGTCAGTGTCAGTGCTTGCAGTTCCAGTGCGTTCCAGTTGCAGAGAAAAAAAGTAGAACAGGCTGCATTTTTCCTGCACTGAACTGTACTGGAACTTGGTAAAAACGCATCAAAAACGCACATGTCCCTATTTAAATTGAATAAAAAAAAAAAGGGGGGGGGGGGGGGGGGGAATAAATGAACTGGAACACATCAAAAACACATTGGAACCCACCACAAACATGAATGCAGAAAGCATCTGGACTGTGTTTCTACGGTGTGAACCAGCCCTACACGAAAATCGTTCATTCTGGTATCTTACAAGAAAACTTTTCATACATGTTATTTTCATACATAATAATTTTGCATGAACAATCCTGATTTTCTCTCAAAAGCTGCGTACCAATGGTCAAATTATTGAGCGATCACTTTGAAAGTGGTATTTTTCGTCTGATTTTCTCATCGTACGTGCCAGGCATAGGTGTATGTACACATGTGAGATCAGGACATTAGATTGCAAGCTCCTTGAGGGCAGGGACTCACGTGGATGTACGTGCAGAATAACTTGTCAGTGTTGTACAAATACTTGTAATACAGGTCAAACTGTGGCGGCAAATCGCTTTTGTTGCCCCAAGATGAAGCTAGCTCCAGGGAACTGTACACTGATCAGAGAATGCAGACCTCTACACCTGTCTGCTGCAAGATGGAGAATTCAGCAGCTTAATCATACACAATTTCAGTCATCAGATGTAATCTGCAATACTTAGAAACATACCCTGGGGGGGGGAAGATGTGATATGACTGGAGCTGACAGAACCAATCAGCTTCTATCTTCAGCTTGTTCACGTAAGCTTTGGAAATGAAAGCTGGAAGCTGATTGGTTTCTATGCACAACTGCTCCAGTTTTAGGATCATCAGCATCCTGTACATCTGCCCTGGCTGCAGCCTGTCATTCATTGGGAGTGTGCACCGAAGCAGCCATGTATTGGGGGGCCAGTGCACGGGTCCCCCCCAATCACTCACCTCCTGAAGTCAAAGGGCATGGTGGACCGCCTCCCACCGACACTCAGCTCTGATTTAAAGGGGCCGCCGCTGGAGCTCAGTCAGCTTGTGTCAGAGTTGTTCTTCAAGCCTGCCGGCTAGACACAAAGGAACTGGCGTCAGCAGAGCTGGCCGAGCGGCCTGTGATTGGTGGAGGTGTGAGGAGGAGAGGACACATCCGGCCCCGGTTTAAAGGGACTCAGCCGGAGCCACGTGGGGTGATGGGAGAAGTTCCTGGTAGTCGGGCTGGATGATCACACTGCTCTGATTGTGTTGTGTACACGGTGCTGGGATGGCTGCCAGGGAGCTCAGATCCCCTCACCTTACACGTGTTCGCATGGCATTGCCTCTGTTCAGGATCAAGCTGCTTCACTACAATGAACAGAAGAAGCTGGCAGCCTGCATCCACACACTGACATCTGTATAGTTCCCAGCAAGCTCAGTCACTATGGGGTTAATGTACTACAACTGGACAGTGCAAAACCTGGTGTAACTGTGCATAGAACCAATCATCTTCAACTTCAGCTTGTTCAGTTAAAAACCTGGAAGCTGATTGGTTATGCAGGCCATAGACAGGTCGAACATTGGCCGATTTAAAAAAACCAAAAAGTAGGTTGTTCGTTCGGTCGACGTTACCACCAACGGTAAAAAAGAAAATCGGCCGACAAAATCATAAAGTTCACCCCCATAACTTCTGTCCCTTGCAGGTCACAGCTCATGCGCGGATTTTTTATCGGTAAAATGATCGGTCCGATTTGCCCATCATTGCTGGGAAAATCAGCTGCAAATTTTCCAACATGACCAATAAAAAACTGGGCAAATAACCTGAAAAATGGCCAACCAATTAACCCACTAATAGTGTGAAAATCGGCCGATTTTTTTTTTTTGGCCGAAAAATCTGCCGATTTTCTTTTTCAGCCGATTTGCCCATCATTGCCGGGAAAATCGGCTGCGAATTTTCCAACATGATCAATAAAAAAACTGGGCAAATAACCCAAAAAACGGCCGACCAATTAACCCACTAATAGTGTGAAAATCGGCCAATTTTGTTTTTCAGCTGAAAAATCAGCCAATTTTTTTTTTTTTTACGGCCGAAAAATCGGCCAATTTTCGACCCGTCTGTGGCCAGCATTACTACAAAGAGCTGCGCCAGTACAGTTCTGTGCAGAAAAGAATGCAGTATGTTCTACTTTACTTCTGCAACCAGAACACACTGGAACCGCAAGCAATGATGTGAACTATGACATTGACAACCATATAACCTGCTTTCTGTGCGTTTTGAATGCAGGAAAAAAAGCGACTGAAACGCATGTAGTGTGAACTGACACTTAGACAAAATTAATAAATGCACATTTTTTTCAGCTTAAGGTAAAAACCTGGAAGCTAATTGGTTACTACAAAGAGCTGCAACGGATTTTGCATTCTCTAATTTTAGTAAATCAGCCTTCTATAATGGATCCCTTTTTTTTTATATAATTAGTCTTTAAAATTCAGCATATGTGTCTACTGGGGCAAATAAATATTGCCGTAGAATCCGTTATTTGTTGCTGCCCCCTAGATTTGCTGATCATGCGTTTTTCTGTTTGCGTAGTAAATATTGATCTTTACGCTTCCCAGATTTGTTCTACAAATAGTGTGTGTCTCTTGTAAGCAGAGAAGCCTGCTAGGTTCACTGAGAAGCTTTCAGCTATGGGAATATGATGTGTGTACCTTTTGTTAGGCTAAGTTCACACCTATGCAGTTTGCATTTGATCTGTTTTTGCATTGCATTTTGTGTTTTGCACCTGTGTTTTTGATGCATTTTGCGGGGGGGTTCTTGTTGTTAACCTCCCTAGCGGTATTCCCGAGTGTAGCTCGGGGTAAGATGTCAGTACCAAAAGCGGTAACCCCGAGCTACACTCGGGCTTACCATGCAGCGCTGCATAGGGAGTCCCTGCAGAGCTTACCTTGTCCTGTCCGCGCTCCTGCGATGTGTCCCCTGCAGCGTCCCCGGCCATCTCCTCCGGACGATGCCGACATCCGGCTCCTGTCTTCCGGTCCCTGTGATGTCGGGACGTACGGGCGCCGCCGGCGGCGGTAAATTTGAAAATTTAAAAAAAATGTCAAAACTATTTTACATAGTAAAACATTGCTGTTTCAACCCATTTCACATACATTTTGTCCCTAGTGCTTTGTCCTGTCCCGTCTGCATTTTGACTGTTCTTTCTTCCTGGAAACTTAGAAAAGTCCATGGCGTCCAAAAAGTGTCCCTTTAGGTCAGAAGCGGGTTTAGACCGGCTAGAGAACAGCGATAGTAAATCAGAACCACTTGCAGAATTGAGTGATAATGATTCGTGGGGGAAATTCATCATCAGACACTGAAAACAATTTTGCGACTTTGCTCAGTGATGTGCGAACTTGGCGCTATATTTCAAATTTCAGTGTTTTTGGTTCGATTATATTATTGAATTAAATGTATTATTATATTATTATTATTTTTTATGATTATTTATTAAATTATAATTTATGATTTTGTGTTTCAAATTTTATCATACCCGGGATGTTTAATAGACTCTTGTTCGGACAGATTTCAGTGAGTTATTCCTAAATATTACAGCCTACAATAAAAAAACGACATATTTCCATGCAAAATAATGGTACCGCTTTCAGCACCAAAAATCTGAAATAATCATACCGCCAGGGAGGTTAAGCAGATTTAAAACGCAGAAAAAAAACACACTACATGCTTTTCTGCAGCATTCCCATTGAAGTCTGCAGAACCAAAAACGCAACTTTTTTGCATTCAAAAAAGTCCAAAACCTCTCCAAAAACCAGGTGAAAATGCTGAGATGTGAACGTGTCCCATAGGAAATCATGTTAAATGGACTGTAGTACATTTCTGCAAAACGCTGCGGAAAACGCTTCGGTGTGAACCTAGGTTAAAGGGAAAGAGTGTTGCTAATCAGCCTTAACCCTAGGTTCACATCTGTGTGGGAGGTGCAGCTGCAGATCTGCATGAAACTCCATGCAGCCGCACCACCCGCACAGAGAAATGCGGACCCGCAGGTGAGTTCTAATGGCACGCTGCCCACACTGGAAAACGCAACCGTACTGGGAACCGAGGTTCCCATGCGGGCTGCGTTTTACAAAGACGTGCAGGGACTTGGGCTCTCTTGCCTGTGCAAAACGTGGCCCGCATGGCCGCATATATGTGAACCGGGGGTAAAGGATAAGTTCACCTTTTAGGGCCAGTTCAAACTATACAAACAGTCCAGATGCATGCGTGTTTTTGGCACATTCCGGTGTGTTTTTGACACGTTCCAGTGGTTTTTTTTTATGCATTCCAGTTCATGAAACCAGTAAACCCAAAACAGGTGTGTGTTTTTTAAGGGCAGGACAGCTGTCAGCAACACATCCAATATCATCACACTGATTGGAGTCAAGGTTGCCTCACTCCTGGCTCCAATTAGCTCTGGGAGAAGTCATTAAGCTAGGGCCTCACATACTTTTTCCTCCCTGCACTGTGAATGTTTACATGTTATGTGCAATTAAACCATGGCAACATCTAATGTTTGTGTAGTATTATGTTCAGCAGACTGTGTTCTTCTATTGTTGTGACTTAGATGACGTTCAGAGCACATTTTATGCCCAATTCATGCAAAACTCCACATAATCCCAAGGGGTTCACATACTTTTTCTTGCAACTGTAGCAGCCCATTCATTTGAATGGGCTGCTGTGTCGTGTCCTGCGCAAAAAAAAAAAGGTGCATGCACCTTTTCAAACTTGCATCTGCAGTGAAACCGCATGGTACTTTTGACCATACGATTTCCCTGCAGTTCCACAACCAACCTGCTGCAAGTGGGCTAGTGTGAATCCAGGGTTATTCAGTGATATTCAGTGATAATACGATACACTTTCCCTGTACTAATGACACTGTCTTGGAAGGGGTTAACATCTCAGGCAATTAAGGGGTTAACTGTGTGCCTAGCAAGTGTTTATTTGTGTAATGTGTGCTGTTTTTTACTAAAAATCTCTGTTTCTTCTCTCTGCTTTGGCAAGATCAAAAGCACTCTCTGAGGACCTCACAAAGAAAAAAAATATGGATGCCTGCCCCCCCCCCCCCCGGGTGTGCTCTCATTTTCTACAGCATAAGCTGATCAGTGGGTCCTGGCCAATGATTTATGGCCACGACCTG